GGGTGCTGGGGCCAGTGACAAAGGTTCAGGTGGCTGCACACATGCCCACGGGTGCAGGGTCAGCCACTGGCTTACACACAGTGGCAGGATCCGGGGCCTTGGGCAGGGGCTCAGGCCATTTGTGAGCACATACACAATGGCTAAATGGAATCCCTGGGCGGGGGCACTGTGGTAAAGATGGCCGGGCAACTATGATGGGGGGAGGTGTTGGCTGAGATAGCTTGAGATGGCAAAGGCTAAAAACTGCAGGGCCTTTGGTGGGAAACTATGAGGGATCCACTGTAGCTACACTGGCTGCTGGTTTCCTCAGTAGTGAAATCTGCTGGGATGCTCTGCGGAACAGGCAGACGGAGTCTGCTATGGCAAACCCTGCAGGGCCCTTGGTGGTAACAGCTACAGGGGGTACGTGGCAGCCAGAAACATTTTGAGGTCCTCAACAGAAAAGGCTGATAGAATCCTATCCAGATCAGGGCACTGGGAACCACAGTGTCCGTGAATGAAACCAAGAGTCTCACCCTTCTTTTTTTTTTAACTTTTTTTGGAGAAGTTTTTGCTACAGGGTGCTTGCACTCTCCAGACAGAAAGAGAGACAGAGAGACAGAAAGTGAGAAATCACCCCCCAGGGGTGATGGCCATGCCGCAATCCCTTCTCCTCCATTCTCCTCTCAGGATCTTGGGCATGCATGCACACGCACCTGGCATGAGTTTAAGCCACCAGGTCTGGGACACGAACCACGGTCAACCACATGGGAGTCCAACAACATAGCCATTACGCCAACTGCTGGTCCCTGAGTCTCACCCTTATTTATTCCCAGCCACCTCCCGATGTCTCAGCTATGACAGTCTCCTCTGTGAAATGGGCAGGGTGAGACTAAAGTTGGTCAGTCAGGCAGCTCCTCACAAAAGAGAAGTTGTATTTGAGTGCTCTCTCTCTTTCCCAGTAAAGGGAACTCACAAGCTGGGGAGTTCCCTCTCAGGGCTGAGCAGTGCCTGCTGGGGACAGGACGGTGTAAGCAAAGTGAAACTTTCTTCCTGTCCTTTTCCTATGATCATCCAAGGCTTGTGTTACTGTGTCTTACTCTCAAGTGGATTCCTGAACTCTTCTAGAGCTAGTTTCATCATGGATAGCTGTTTGCTGTTCTGTGTTGAGGGAACAAGGCTGAGATCTCCCACTCCGCCATCACACTAGCTTTTCAGTGATAATCTCCCTAACTTCTGGCTTTATATATCTCACATTTTCTATTAATACTCTGTGTTTTAGAACACCACAAATATCCTAGGCTAAAGTCATCTGATCCATATGTTATAGTGCAGAATTCTATAATCTTAAGAGGAAACCTCCAGAATTTAAGCAAATACAAAGTCATTTTATGGAAAATGTATGACAGTAAATGTTTTCTTAGTCCATCACAATGGGTGGAGAACTTTTCTTCATTTAAACAGAAAATCAACCTCTTTGCACAACAAGTTGCTAGTACTGCTGACTATTAAGGATATTTAAATTATATGAGTACCCACATCAATCAATAACACATAACAGTGTTGATTTTAGATACCGACTAGCCATGTTTTCATCTCAGCCAAAAAAGACGAATTTGACTTTTTAATATATGTGCTTACTTATCAGTCCTTGAGAAACTATGTGTATGGACCAAAGGGATACTTTCAATTTCTTATTCTACTTTTCTTAAATTTTTTTTTTTTTTTTTTGAGAAACAGAAAGCAAGAAATCATCCCCCAGGGGGATGGCCACACCATAATCCCTTCTCCTCCATTCTCTTCTTGGGATCTTGGGCATGCACACACACGCGCTGGCGTGAGTTTAAGCCACTGGGTCTGGGACTCAAACCACAGTAGACTACATGGGAGTGCAACAACATAGTCATTACACCAACTGCTGGTCCCCCAACTTTTCTTAAATCCTAATTTCCAACATGTTAAACCTACTGAAGGCTACATATTGTGTGTGTCCAATTCTAAAATAGATTTTAGTATACACAGTATCAAATTGCCAACAGTTACATGTTTAATAGGGATGTGTAGAGTTCTCCAGAGAAATAAGACTAATATTAGGGATATAGAGAGATTTATTTTAAAGAATTGGCTCACATTACTGTGGGGCCTGGCAAATTTGAGATCTGTAGGAAGAGCACTACTAGGCTGTAAATTCAGATAATAATTGATATTGTAGGCTTGCGTCTGAAATCCATGGTCTGGTCAAGCAGACAAAACACTCAAGCAAGGTTTCGATGGTGCAGTCTTATGGCAGAAACCTTGGTGTCTGCCTCGGAGCCTTTGACTCATTGGATGAAGCCTACCTATATCATGGAAGGTAGTCTGCTTTACTTAAATCAGACATAATGTCTAAGTGTAAGTGTTTATCATATCTGAAAATTATCTTCACAGCAACACTTAAGACTGGTGTTTGACTGAACAACTGGTGCCACAGCATTGCCAAGATAACAAAATTAAGCATCACAGAAAGTATTTTGTTGGTTTAATTTTAGTTTTATGATGATGGTAGTTAGCATAATGGCTATGTCGCTGGACTTCCATGTAGCCAACTGCGGTTCATGTCCCGGACCCAGTGGCTTAAACTCACGCCAGGGGTGTGTGCATGCGTGCCCAAGATCCTGAGAGGAGAGTGGAGGAGAAGGGATTGCGGCATGGCCATCACCCCTGGGGGGTGATTTCTCACTTTCTATCTCTCTGTCTCTCTCCGTCTGTCTTTCTGGCAAGTGCACGTGCCCTATAGCAAAAAACCTCTCCAAAAAAAAAAAAAAGATGATGGTAGTGGTTCTGGTGGTAATATGAAGAATTATCATGCTTCTTCCATTAGACTTTTTCACCCTGTTTACATTTAATCCACAAGAGAAGATCTGCAATTCAGAAACCAGGCTGAGGTTCCAATATATTTTGTAAGCTCTTATACAACCAAATCTTAATAATGCTACTATGGTTTGCTATTAACATTGTCAAAATTGCTTAATTAGTCATTGTCATTGACTCTTGGACTTTCAATAGTTCTAATAACTTTGTAACATAACTTAAGAATGAACCTTTGTCAGGACAAGCGGGTAGCATGATGATTACGTTCCTGGATTCCCAATGTAGTTGACTGCGGTTCAAGTCCCGAATCCAGTGGCTTGAGACTCACACCTGGCACGTGTGTATGCATGTCCAGGAAACCAAGAAGAGAATGAAGGAGAAAGGATTGTGGTGTGGCCATCCCCCAAGGGGTGATTTCTCACTTTTTGTCTCTCTATCTCTCTGGTGAGCACACATGTCCTATAACAAAAATCTCTCTTAAAAAAAAAAAAAGAAGAAATATCTGTGTTGGGGTCAGCAGGTGGTGTAGTGTTTAAGGCTCTGGACTACTACATGGCAGACAGCAGTTTGATTCTCAGACTCAGCGGCTTGAAACTCACTCTAGGCACATGTGTATACATGCCCAAAATCCTGAGAGGAGAGTGGAGAAGGGACTGCAGCATGGTCATCATCTCTGGGGGGGTAGGGGGGACAGAGAGGGGGGTAATATCTCATTTTTTGTCTCTCTGTTTCTCTGACGAGCACACGAACCCTATAGCAAAAATATCTCTCTCAAAAAAAAGAAAAAAAAGAATCTGTGTCAATAGATAAGTCCTAAAAGAATTAATATATGGAGTGCTTTTTCACGGAAATCCTACTAATATAAATTTGTACATATAAAAATTTTAAATGACTCCACATTCATCAACTTTGACCACACAATTTGGTCAAATAAAAATTTTAGCCAGGATGATTAATTTTATAAAACAAAGTAGTCCAGAGCTGCCCAAGATCTAGCAGATAGAGGATTCTAAAACTAGAGGGCATTACTCTCCTCTTGCAGTGGCTGAAAACCCACCCTAGAAGATGCTGTCATGGCCTCCAAGGCTGAGACACAATGTGGCTTTCTGACTATTGTGTGGGCTTTGGAGTCAAAAGCTGCCATTCATTTGCTGGGTGACATCCAAAGTCTCTCTCCATCTTTATTTCATTGTGACTGTTATTGGGGGATAAATGAGTTTGTGTTTGTAAAGTAACTACGATAGATCTTGTAGACACTCAGTAAAAAGGGTTTATTGCTCTCCTTGGTCTCCGTAGTAACTTAAAAATCCTCTCCACTGACTCACTCCTCTTAGCACCACAAACGACTTCTTGCTAATTCCAACAGTGTGACTTCTTTGGTTCACTTTCATTTCTTCCAAGCCCTCTTTTTTTTTTTTTTTTTAAGAATTATTTTATTTCACTCTATGTTATGTTATTTATTTTAATTTGACCAGAGAGGGACAGAGTGAGAAAGAGAAAGTGAGAAGGCAAGTCATCAGGTCCAGGACTTGAACCGTGTCGACCATGTGGGTTGTGAGTCCAGCACTTTTAACCTCCATGCCACCTGCCAGTCCCGAGGCCCCTCTTTTTAAATACGGACATTTCTATCATTTTTAATCATCAAATATTTATAAAATGCCTATTCTGTGAAAGGTACTCTGCTTCAAGTATTAATAAGAGGACCAGCAAGTGTCATGGTAGTTAAGACGGCTGGATTTCACATGGCCAGCTGAGCGGTTTGAGTCCCAAATGCAACACCTTAAAAGTCACACTGTGGCCATGTGCATGTGTGTCCAAAACCCCAAAAGGAGAAATGAAGAAGGGATTACAACATGACCATCCCCCAGGGGAATGGTCTCATTTCCCTCTTTCTCTGACAAATACATGTGCCCTCAAACAAATTAAGAGGGAAAGGGGAGGGAGGACGAGTTAAAAATATAAATGAGACGCAATCTCTGGTGTCAAAATATCTCTGGGAAGTTGGAAATTATTCGAAAGCCCAGATAGGGTGAATTCTGTTCCTGTTTCCTATGTAAGTTCAAGGTCCGCCCAAAATAGTCTTAAGTCTTCTTGGTCTCTTGTTCTTCCTCCTCCTTTACTCTTGCCTCACTGAAGTTCCAAGTCTTTGTTATGACAGAGATTCCAGAACCTTCATAGGTCACACTCCCTTAAGTTGCTTAGGTCTGAGCAACCTGAGCCACCCGATTCCGCAGCAACCCTGTATAATCTCTGTCTACAAGGCCTTCCCTGGCACCCAAGTTCATGCTACTCAGAAAGAGTGAGCTTGAGTGGTTCATTTTATTTTGAAGCTTCTCTGACAAAGAAATCCAGATGACACGGAACCTACTGAAGATACCTGGAAAATGGCGGTCTTGGGTACGGACTGACCCCCTCCCTCTCTAGGACTTCCTAGACTCTTAGCTCAGGAGTCAGGGACTTTAACACAACTGCTTTAACCTCTCTGCCTGCTTCCTTGAAAATTCAATGTCCTTTCTTTCACTCCTGTTGACTCCTCTGCAGGCCTGGAGGGAAACAGTCAACTCAGCTTCAGAGTGATAGTGCTGATTTCTCCTTTGATTTCTAGAGTTTAATAATAAATAAATAAAGGGTGTCTTCTGCAGTGGATTTTGTGAATATAACCACCTTTGTTCAAATCCTGCAGTCTGGGGCCTCTTAAGATGATTTCATGACTCACCCACTCAAAAAATTTTGAGCATGCATTCCATATATGTGTATATTTATAAATGTTATAGATGTACAATTGGGGACCAGCAGGTGGTATGGTAGTTAAGGTGTTGGATATTCCCACATGGCCAACCATGGTTCAAGTCCTGGACCTGGTGGCTTGCTTTCTCACTTTCCTTCTCTTACTCTCTCTCTCTGTCTATGTTCAAATTAAAATAAATGAAGGAATAAATAAAATTAAATAATTTTTTCAGTTTGTGGTTAAAAAAAAATAATAATAAATGTACAAACTGTACTAATAAATTTTAAAATAGATATCTAAAGATTTTAAAGGTATGAGATAAAATTACATAAAAGTAGAAGTTTTCATATTTTTTCTTATACCCCAGAAAATATCTTGGCAGACACTGATTTACTCTAAACTGCTGGGACAAGGAGTTCTACGGAGGAGGAAATCTGTTACATCACCCACTCTAAGACAAGGATACACAGCATCTGAGGTTCTTAGTAAAAGACCAAAATAATCAAGATAAAAGCTAAAAAAATGGATAGGGGAAAGGATATTGGGACAGTATGATGAGTAATATAAAAGAATAAAAGAGGTGAAGTAGCAGAAAAGGGAAAGGAAAAAAGGTCTAGTAGACAGTAAGAGGTGACCAAAAGTTGTCTCTGATAATGACCTGGCCTCAATAACAAGCAGACCTGAAGTGAGATTTTTGTTTCAGAAGTAACTTTGGCTATCATCTTGACTCTACTGGGACTTGCCATTCTGGCGATTTTGTTAACAAGATGGACAAGACGCAAGCAAAATGGTGAGTAGTGATAAGTTAAAATGGAGATTCCCTGCGGGAGACACAAAGGGGGATGCTAACATCCAGTCTCAGGTTATCTCTACTAATACAATAACTAGAAACTTTTGCCAGTATCCTGAGAATCTGTTTCAACATATGAGCTAAAATACCTGTGACTTATTAGTAATTTCCCAAGCACTTTTACTTTTGTTTCTTTATTTGTTTATTTTTATTTTATATTATTTTTTTAAGGGAGAGATTTTTGCTACAGGGCACATGGAGACAGACAGGGAGACAGACAGATAAAGAGAGAGAAAGTGAAAATCACCTCTCCTTGTGGGGATGGCCATGCCACAGTCCCTTCTCCTCCATTCTCCTCTCAGGATTTCAGGCACTCCTGCACACATATGTGCCCAGCATGATTTTAAAGCCACTGGGTTCAGGACACGAACCACGGTTGACCATGTGGGAGTCTAGCACCTTAACCACTACATGATCTGCTGGACCGTTCCATGAACTTTTAAACTCCCAAAGCTTATGTTATCAATAATGTCAACTACTCTGAAAAGAATCACAGGTACAGTTTAGCAAAATTAATAAAAATACTATAAAAGGAAATTGCCAGACCCAGCAACAGTGACACAAGTGAGAGGGCACTGAAGCCACATAGGAGGCCTGGATGCAGTTCCTGCCCCAACCTGAATCAAACTCACTCTCTCTCTCTTTCATCTCCCTCCCTCTCCCTCCCATGTACTCACTTTCACTTGCTCTCATAAAAGGAAAGAATGTAAAAGAAATAAAAAAGGAAAAGAAAATCTGAACAAAAAGGGAAAATTACTTGAGGGGGGAAAATAGAAGTGAGAAGACAGTATGCTTCTCAAGTACATGCTAATATATATCAATATCTTGTATTATATGGAAAGAACTAAGAAGACACAGGGTAGTATTCATCAATGAAAGAGAGATTGGGGTCAAAAAACCAAGACTTATTTCTATGCCATAAGATTTCCCTTTCCAGGATTTTCCTCAATATCTCTCCCATTCCCTTTTAATCAGTTGTATACTCCCTCTTATTTCCCATCCTCAATGTCTATGAGCCCTCAGAGAATAAGTAGCATAGATGACAAGTGGATAAGACAGGCTGGAAACGATGAGAAGCCGTGAGAACCAGTAATGCATCAGGAGGACCAGCCTGGGAGCAAAGCAGCACAGCAGATTAAGGAGAGACGGGTCTGGGAAGAAACATTCTCATAAGTAGCTATCAGAAACATTTTTTTCCCTATTTTTTCCACAGAAATGTATGTATCCAGATACAGTTCAGAACAAAGTAAGTACTTATCCCCATGAGAACAACATATATAGAATTATCGAATTTTCATAAGCCAGGAACGAAATCTGTCTGTTTACCATTGTGTTTCCCAGCACCTGGCTTGGTGCACCCTACCTTGAACTGAATGCCTAAGTTACTGGGAGAAATCTACCAGCAATTTCTGAGCAGCTAAATTGCAAACCGGAATTGGACAAAATGAGTTAGTGGGGGATAGGCCGACATGACTGTGAGGGTCCGTTTAGATGTTGCCTGTGGTCTGGGAGCAGCACCTGAGATGCCATGTAAACAGCAGACTCCTCAGGATTGGGGCAGATGATTTAGCAGAGTCTAAGTCCAGTAGTGAAGGCTGGAGAGAAGAATCTAATGTCGCCAGGAATAATGACAGTGAACAGCTAAGGTGATTACAATTGAGAAGAAGCGTCCCAAGTTCAAGATGTGGAGGGGTGAAGCAGACTTTCCATGGCAAAGTCTGGAGAGATGCCCAAGTTCCTAAGAAGGATACCCTAGGATAAGAGGGTACAAATAGGAGCTGAGTGCTAGAGTACAGAGAGGTGACAGCTACTTTGAAACTCCTTATGATTGCCATTTGGCCTGGCTGATATTGTGAACCTGTAACTGACAGTCACTCATCACCTCCTTCCACTTATGCACAATCCTTAGCTCCTACAAAGTGATGTGATATTCAGCATCTGTAGTGCACACTTACATTAGCTTTCAGAGTCTTAAATAAAGCACGATTAATAATTAAGAGGCAAAATTGTGGAGCTCTCTCCTTTTTTTCTCTAGGTGCTGGACTTCTGGAGTATGAGGATGAAAAAGGTAAACAGATTAAGAACAATTAGGGAAGCAGTGGAGAAATGTGTTCTATAGAGAGCATGTGACTAATCTCTCTTTGAGCATGATTTACGTCAGCACATCTTTTGCTGACATATCTGATTGACTATCAGTCTCTTTCTCTCTCTCCCTCTCTCTGCACACACGCGCGTGCACACACACACACACACACACACACAAAGAATTGTGTACTTTTTTCAGAAAACGCTAACATTTTCCCTTCCGAAGACCATTTTAAAAAATCGTGTTCAGGAACCAGCAGTTAGCGTAATGGCTATGTCGCTGGACTCCCACATAGTCGACCGTGGTTCGTGTCCCGGACACAGTGGCTTAAAACTCATGTGCGTGTGTGCCCAAGATCCCGAGAGGAGAATGGAGAAGGGATTGCGGCGTGGCCATCCCCCCTGGATGGTCATTCTCCCTGGGGGGTGATTTCTCATTTTCTGTCTCTATCTCTGTCTTTCTGGAGAGCGCATGTGCCCTATGGCAAAAACCTCTCCAAAAAAAAAAAAAAAAGAATTAAAAAAAAAAATCGTGTTCAGCACCTCTTTTCTCCAAGATCTTAGAAAGGCTAAGGAACCTCTCTAGAACAATCTCCTGGATATTTAAAATAGAAGTAAATTATATAATTCACATGTCATGAAGATTAAATGAAATAGTATATGTAAAATGACTCTTTGAAAGGTATACAGTGTAAGAGGTAAATAAAACTTACTATTCCCATTTCAAAAGATGAAATTTATGCTCAAAAAGATTGAGACTTATTCAAGTTCACGTAGCTAAGCAATGAGTTGGATTTTGTGATTGTAAATCTAGTACTCACATATTTACATCATACTCCTCCCACCTGAGCTACGACAAAAAGGGAGGTCATTTTATCATGATTTTCAATATTTGCTATTATTAATAATAAAATTATGACCTGTCCCCCAGATCAGGACATGTGATCTGACATGAATGAGGAATAATGATAAAGCTTTTTTTTTTCCTATATCAAAAAGAAAGAGAGAAACAGAGAAACAGCAAGTGAGAAATCACCCCCCAGGGGGGGATGGCCACATCATAATCCCTTCTCCTCACAGAATCCTGGACACAGAAGCACACACACCAGACAGAGCTTAAGCCACTGGGCCCGGGACTTGAACCACGGTCTATTACATGGGAGTCCAGCAACACAGCCATTACGCCACTGCTGCTCCTGATAAAGCTTTTTTGAAATAAACCTTCTCCAGAAAGTTTCTTTATGGTTATAAAAATAACTTCAAGGCACAGTCTATTTTTTTTTTCTTTTTTTTTTTCAGGGACACATACATACCTCTAATTTCAATGTACCTTAACTCTTACACCCCAAACTCACTGTTCTCTCTAAACATCACTCACCAGGGTTGCCTATATATGTGGTTCTGTTCTCTGTCCTATCTTCTCCAGAACTCATCAAGGGTCACTAGAGTTGCCTCTCCTTTTATTGGAAACTATTAAAATTGTCTATATAGGGAGAGCCAGGAGGCATGTGGTTAAAGTGACTGATTTTTCCATGTGGCCAACTATACAGTTAAGAGTCCTGGACCCTTGAAAATCATGCTGGGCATGTGTGCATGAGTGCCCCAAATCCTGAGAAGTGAATGGAGAAGGGATTATAATGGCAAACCCCCACCCCCTGGGGGGAGAATAATCTCTCTCTTTTTCTCTCTCTTCCTCTCTCTCCAGGAAATGCATGAACCCTACAACAAAATGATACACACATAGACAGATAGATAGACAATTGTCCATACTAGGCTCACCAACTAAACTAGAACTACAGAATTTTGAAGTTATGGATATGGAAATAATCACACACACACACGCACACTCACATGCACACTCAGTACAAGCATGTAGATCTCCAAGAGTTGAAGGAGAAAAGAGAAGGGTAGTTCACTCTGCCTGCCCCCCCATGCCTCACACTTGTACTCTCGACCCTTACTTTCCCTCTTACCTCTAGGATTCCTCTGTCATAAACAAGAGCAAGGAGCAGAGAGCCATGGCATCCTCTCATTCTTTTCTGAAATTGAACCCACAGAAAATGGGATAGCTGGAAAGTAGCAAATCTCTCAGTTGGTTGGCTTTAAACTAATGAGAAACATATTTGTTCATGATCTGTTAGTAAAATTAGTCCATTGTGTTGTTTTTTGTTTTTCTTTTTCGTAAGACTAGAGATCTAAAAAAAAGAAGCAGCAAAAGAAATTTCATCTAATAAGAAGATAACATAGACATATTTGTCAAGGAAGTGTCTCATTATGTTTTCATTTTCTCTTTTAGGACTCCAACATTCATATTCAACAGAAAGTGGTAAATAAATTAGATAGTAGATTGCTAAGAATTTAATACAGAAGCCTATTTATGAAAAGTTAAGAATCTTATATTTTTCCGCAATCCTCTAGACATTTCATATGATAACCAAGGTAAGTATATTTAGGGGTTATGATAAAATTAAAGGAAGACCAATACTTCTTTATACCATAATATGAGACACTATAAAACCTACTGAGATAAAGGGCAAAACAATCAAAGTAGTATGTAGACTATGTGGGGAAATATTCGACCTCTGCACCTGTCCTGTGGCCTCGTGATAAGGGAGCCAGATCCCATAAGACTGATGGCAGTTTAATTCATGATTCCAGGCAGCTTGAATATCCTGAGAGAATGGAGGAGAAAGGAATGCAGTGTGGCCATACGATCTGGGGCCTGATTTCTCACTCTCTCCAGCAAGCACACATGTACCTGAGGCCTGATTTCTCACTCTCTCCAACAAGCACACATGCCCTATGGCTGAAAAAAAATTTTTAAATTAAAATTTAAAGTGTAAATCTGTGGCACATATATTCTATGGAATATTGCTCAGCTATAAGATACGATGACACTCTATGATTCAGAATGGATAACTATAGAAGACTTAATGTTGAGCAAAGTGAGCAGAACTTTAAAAGATACACATTGTATTTCCCCACTCAATTTGTACTGAATATCTGCACTGTATGGCAGAAATGGAAAGATCTGAAGATACACTAGTAAAGATAAATGTAAATGCCAGAGACTGTAAGGGAGGGGAGTGGATAGTAGAGATGGGTGGTAGAGGGTGGGTGTGAGATGCAAAGGGAAAAACACTTAACAGACCTAAAACATGTAAAGTTCTCTGTTGAAAAAATATTGTATTCATCATGATAGGGACTTTCTGAAAAAATGTGAAATTAATCTCAAAATATTAAATAAATAAATGTATAAATAAAATTAAAAGTTTTGAAATCCATTTAGCTTTTTCATACTATACATTTTTATGAACTTTTTATGATAATCATTTTTATCTAAATTTAGTCATTGTGCATCTTTAAAGTGTACAACATGGTTTTTCTCAGCGTGAACACAATGTGCATTAGTGTGCAAAAGTATTAAAATAACTATGGCTACAATATTCGTAATGAATATATGATATCAAAAGATGTAAAAATGACATCAGAAGTATAAAATAAGGGGGGAGAAGGTCAAAGTATAGAGTTTTTATATGCAAAGTTAGGTTGTTACGGTTTAAAATAGTGTTGAAATTATTGACATATGATGTTTTGTATAATCCTATGGTAACCACAAAGTCAAACCTACAGAGGATAAAGAAAACAGAAAAACAAAGAAACTAAAACATACCACTACCAAAAAATCATCAAATCTCAAAGACAAAGACAATAACAGGAAGAAACAGAGATTTTCGAAACAACCAGAAAACAGTTAAGAAATAATTACCTTAAGTGTAAAGGGATTAAAACATCAAATGAAAAAAACAGAAAGTGGTCTACTGGATTTTCAAAAATCAATATTCAACTCCATATGCTGTCTGAAAGAGACTCACTTCAGAGTTTAGAGCACATGTAGGACCAGCCCATGGTGTGTTGGTTGGAGTGGTTAGATAACAAGTGACCAGTCTGAAATCAGCTGTTTAAGGCTTGACCTAGTGATTTGAGAAGTACACTGGACCCATATATATGGATGCCCAAAATCCCAAAAGGAAGGAGAAGAGGAGAAGGGACGGGAGCATGACCATTCCCCATGAAGTGTGCTTTCTCACTCCCTCTCTCTCTAGCAATAATGCACATCTTCTGGCGAATTTTAAGAAAGAAAGAAATATACAGAATAAAAGGGAAGAGAAAAAGACATTCCATGTGAATGGAAAATGAAAGCAGTATGTGGGGTGCCTCTCTCTCTCTCTCTCTACCTTTCTCTCTCTCTCTGTCTCTCTGGAAAGTACACATACCTCCTGACAATAACATTTTTTAAAAATTTATTATAAAAAGTAAAATATGATATGATTCAATAATTCCATTTCTGGGCATATATCCAAATGAATCAAGTCATTATCTTAAAAAGATATTCACACTCTCACGTTCACCGAAGAATTATTCACAATAGCCAAGATATGGGAACAACTTAAGTGTCTATCAATGGATAAATAAACTAGAATAGTGTTCCCAAGAAAACCTTCCAGTTTTTCATCTTTGAAAATGATGGGAGTTGTAGGTTGTTTATATGCCCTTTAGTATGTTGAGGTGCACTCCTATAACCAATTGTTGAGAGTTTTCATCATGAAAAGATGTTGAACTTTGTGAATACATTTTTTACAGCAATTGAAATGGTCATTTTATTCCTTTTATTTTTAATTATATCTCTTGATTTATGCATGTCATACCTGGCACAAATCCTTTCAACCCAGGGATATATCCCAGTTGATCATGGTACATGAATAAATTATTGAATTTAGTTGAGGATTTTTGCATCTTGCTAGTCAGGGAAGCTTACTTGTAATTTTATATTCTTGAAGTCTTATTTGGTTTTGGTATTAGGATAACACTGACCTGGTCAAAATGGTTTGGAAGTGTCCCTCCTCTTCAATTTTTTTTTTTTTTTTTAAGAATTATTTTTTTTAACTTTGCTTATATTATTTAAAAATTAATGTTTAGTAGATTCACCTGTGAATTTACTAAAAAAGTCCTGGACTTTTCTCTGATGGGAGACTTTTTTGTTTGTTGATTTAATCTCTTTTTATTTATTTTATACATTCAATCACTGTACATCACCACAGCTTGTATTTTCTCAGCATGAATATACTGCACACCAGTCCAGTTAAATATATTATCATACACATCATCGACAGACAATCCTCCATTTCTGTGTCCCTTAAATGTCTTTAACAATATACATTTATTCAGATTATCTGTGTTTTCTTGATTCAGCCTTGGTAGGCTGTGAGCATCTAGAAATTTATCTCTTCCTTTTAGGTTATATAATTTGTTGGTTTATAATTGCTCTTAGTAGTTGCTTATGGTTCTTTGTTTTTTTCTGGTATGAGTGATACCTTCTCTTCCATTTCCGATTCTATTGATTTGAGTTCTCTCTTTTTTCTTACTCTAGCTGAAAGCTTATACATTTCATTTATTTTGTCAAAAGACAACTGTTGGGGGCAGCAGGTGGTATGGTGGTTAAGGGCACTGGATTCCCCCATGGCTGACCACAGCTCAAGTCCTGGTCCCGGACCTAGCAGCTTGTATTCTCACATTCTTTCTCTCTGTCCCTCACTCTGTCCCTCTCTGGTTAAAATAAAATAAGTAAATAAATAAAATAATAGATCTAAATTTTAAAATGAGATTTTAAATGAGATTTTTTTAAAGTCAAATCATACTGTTGATCTTTTCTGTTTTTTCCTATTTTATTTATTTATGCTCTGATTTTTCCACAAAAAAAACCTGTATAATCATAATACAGTGGTCCTGAAAATATATAAAAGGCATTTCATTTATAACATATCCAACTCCTTCACCAGACTAACATGCAGGGTATTCATGCTGGGAAAATTCATTTTCTTTTTATTTTTTTGAAGACATTTTTGCTATAGGGTGTGTGTGTTCTCCAGAGAGACAGAAAGTGAGAAATCATCCCCCAGGGGGGATGGCCACTATGCAATCCATTCTCCTCTTGTGATTTTGGGCACACTGGCCCATGTACCCAGCATGAGTTTCAAGCCACCAAGTTCAAACCACTATTAGCTATGTGGGAGACCAGCACCTGAACCACCACGCCACTGCTGGTCCCAGGGAAAATTCATTTTCAATGTTGTAAAGAAATACTGTAATTGAATGTAAAAAAATAAAAATAATAAAATCAAATTTAAAATATATAGAGATGCAAAATAGGTCCTGATCCCTTCTACGCAATTTACTGACAGCTGTAGTTGCCTAATTGATGGGACCATCTTCCTTAGACTCATCTTTAACTTCTTTTTTCATGCCTTCTTCATCTAGTTCCCCAGCAAAACTTATCAATGATACTTGCAAATTTTATTCCACTCTGACCATTTTTCACCACCATCACATTCAAGCACCAACATCTCCCGCCTGGACTATTACAACCGCTTCCTAACTGACTTTCTTGCTTCTCCTCTTGCCTTCTACTAACCACAGTCAGGGAGATCCTTAATAAGTAGTTTTTGAATAAGATCATTAATTTATGATACATCATTATCCCTAATGTACAGAAGAGAGACCCATGCATGAAAAATATTACTGACTTGCCCAAGGCCACGGTGCTTGCAACTAACTCAATCTGGATATAAACACAGAAGTCTGACTCTAAATTTTGTATAAAGTTATTTTCTGGGATCAGCAGATAGTGTAATGTTTAGGTCACTGGACGCCCATGTAGTCAACTGTAATTTGAATCCTGGACCCAGCACTTAAAACTCATGCCAGGCACATATGCATGCACGCCCAAGATTCCAAGAGGAGAATGAAGGAGAAGGGATTGCAGAGTGGCCATCCACCCTGGAGAGTGACTTCTCACTTTCTGTCTCTGTCTCTCTGGCAAGTGTACATGCCCTATAGCAAAAATCTCAAAACAAAAAAAAAAAAAATCCTAATTATGAATCTTTAGTGTACAGTCTATAATCTTAGTATATTCCTATTCTTGACTCCCCTTGGATTTTAGGGTAAAACTTTAATTAGCAAACATTTTATTATTGTCTAAATAAGTCATAATTTAAAATTCAGAAAACCAAATGACTATTTCTCTAGCTTAGTCACCTCTAAGATGACTCTATAAATCGCAATGATCCTATGTTTCTAAGTCCCCAAGCTCTACTAGTATTCCTTCCATTATTCTAGAGATAAAAATATACATTTTTTGGTCAACTTGAAACTATATAAATCCTCTGGCATCAAAATATTAGGTAAGGTCATTATGTTAGTTTAGGTACATGAAATTTAATACTTAAAGTTTACTTGAATTTAAACATATCACATACATATTAAAGTTGCTATAATTCAAAATTTTCTAAATTAATTGAATTCTTTCTTAATATTAATTTTTATAGCAACTGTCAATGTAGCACATGAAAGTGATCTGCATCAAAATGGTATTTTCTTTTTAAAATCCACATAGGATCATAAGAAATGAGTAACACAGTGTAAGACACAGAACGTTGTATATGTTTTGGACTTAATTCTCATCACAGTGAAGCTTGAAACTCATTTTAAGAAAAGAGACATAAAATGTGTGTGTGTGTGTGTGTGTGTGTGTGTGTGTTTGTGTGTTGTCTTTGCATTTCTGGGTAGATCTTTAACTACGCTTTGGTAAAATATCAAATGATACTGCCATACAACATGACTTAGATCAACTACAGAGTATCAGCATTAACATATATTTTTACACTTTTATGAAAACAACAATGACAACACGAGTAGCGTTTGATGTCATTTTCTTGGTCTGTTTCTAGATCACAGAATGTAATCATAATAAATACATGCATATGTATTCATTATAATTTGCTATATTTCATTGAACTTCAATTATCAATCAGATAACTTTATATTTTACCATTCCTTATTCCGACTCAAAATTACTTCGTAACTAATATATTCTTGTATTTTAATATTACCATGTATAGCTTATTATTTTTCTCACTACATATACTTACCTTAATTAACCTTTGCCTGCTTTTTTATATCATTTAACTCATAAATTAAGACAGCAGATTTTGCTTTCGTTTTTTTGACTTCTGGAATATTTGAGGATGATGCTTGAGATATCCTCCATAATAATACTTAAACTATAGAAATAGAACATTCAAACTGATTTTTCTTTATCTTGTTTGTATTTTCAGAGGGATCCAAAGTATGTTACAGTAAGTATTCTCTTGTTTCTAACAAAATTTTGCTTTCCACTGGTAACATTTCTCTGGATTGGAAATGGATGAAGGAAAGAAAAACCCTATCTGTTATATGAATACTAAGCAACAGATAGTCTCGTAGTGCTGTTTGAGAATGGTCTGTTAGTAACAAACACGTTTCCAAAATGACTGGGAAGAAAGAAGAAATAAAGTAGAGGAAATTATAAATGACAGAAAAGGAAGGTAATCAAGATAAAGGGGAGTGGGAGAAGAAAAGAAAAGAGAAGAAAAGGGAAGGAAGGGAAGACTAGGAAAAAAAGTATAAATGTTATAGAAATAACATCTGTCTCCTAAAAAAGTTAAGACTCTTGTCAAAGATCGAAAGGATAAGTAACAGCTGATGGTCGTGGTCTCCAGTACCCATCACCAATCGGTGATGTCTCCTTGGGCCTGGCCTTCAGCCCCCAGAAGAAGCAGGTGGCAATGACTGAAGCTGATATGCAAAGGTTACTGATCCAAATTCTGATGATTCATGTTCTTCTGTGTGTGTGTGTGTGTGTGTGTGTGTGTGTGTTTTAGCACCGTCAGCCAACTCCCTAGGTAAGTGTTTTATGATAGTCTTTCAATTGTACTGTCATCTGGTTTGCAAATCCTGTTGTTTCTATATTTACTTTTACCTTCTTTTAAAAACATATTTAAAATAAAATGCAAAAATAATTAACTCCTGTATATGCACATCCTAGATGTGACAACTAAAAACATTGTGTTGTATTTCTCCCATTACAGAAAATGTTGAAATCTCTTTTGACTCCATTTCCTTTTTCCAAGAAATACAAAACTATTTATTGACCACTGTTCACCAGTATTTACAAAAAGTAAATAATATACAGTTGGGTAACATTCTGATTACTGCAGAGTTACTTAAT